CTGATTCCTGTGTGTCTGTCTTTTTATTGACTTTTTGTTCTGCCTTCTCATTGGTTGTAAACCCAACCACATGACCTCATCACTGCCTGTCTATACAGACCTCCATATCTTCTATGGTTGGTATTGAGATTAAAGGCGTGTGTCTCCATGCTGGATATGTCCTTGAACACACAAACTCAACTGCCATGTGATCAGATTAAATGCGTGTGCCATCATCACCCTGCTTCTGCTATGGCTTGCTATTATTTCTGACGCCCAGGCATCTGTATTTATTAACATACACATAAAATCACATTTCAGCACAAATAAAATATCACCATATGTTCTAATAAAAAAAACTGGTGATATTAAAAAGAAAATACACTTGTGTTGGTGGTTGGCAGCATGTACTTGGGAGACAAGCTTCTGGGCATGTCTGTGAGGGGTAGTCCAGATTCAGGTTGTCTCTGGCCCTGCCTGTGAGAGAGCAGACTGATTAGATTCACTGAGGGGGGAGCACCCACCCTAAAAGTGAGAAGCACCATTCGCAGGGCTTGGGTCACTGCATTAAAAAAGGAGAATGGTAGATGAGCTCGGGCAGCCTGAGCCTCTGCTGATGCGATGTGACCACCTGCCTCAAATTCCTGCCACCATGCCTTCCCACCATGATGGATGCACCTCGAGTCCCTCAAACTGCAATAAAGTGAACCGTGACTTCCTTAAGTTGTTTTAGTCACATGTTTCACCACAGCAATAAAAAGACTATACTGTACTATACTGTACTATACTGTACTGTACTATACTGTACTGTACTATACTATACTGTACTGTACTGTATTATACTATACTATAATATACTATACTGTACTATACTATACTATACTGTACTGTACTATACTATACTGTACTGTACTGTACTATACTATACTATACTATACTGTACTATACTGTACTATACTATACTGTACTGTACTATACTATACTGTACTGTACTATACTATACTGTACTGTACTATACTATACTATACTGTACTGTACTATAATATACTATACAATACTGTACTATACTATACTATACTGTACTGTACTATACTATACTGTACTGTACTATACTATACTATAGTATACTATACTATACTGTACTGTACTATACTATACTATACTATACTACACTGTACTATACTATACCGTACTGTACTGTACTATACTATACTATACTACACTGTACTATACTATAC